CTTGACATGAAATTCTGCCACGCTCGTTTGTTTGAGCTACTTGCAAAATAAAAAGCAAATGTACCAAAAATCTAACAGGCGTGGTGCAACTGGTCTCAATAGACTCATACATGTTTCTGAAAATGATCTGAGTGAAAAATAACTCTGGAATGTGTGTTTATTAAATTATAAACTTGATAGTTCAAACTTTATGTACAAAAATTATCATTTCTTTGTGACCTTTCATTACTTTGTTTTCAATGGTGAAAAAGCAAAAAGACAAGGTTTTATCTGTTTTTTAAATCCTTTATTCTCGTGATTTTAGGGTTTTGGAGTGTAACTGAAGGGCGTGTGAAACAGGACAGAAACTCTATTTACAAAATGAACTTCAAGGCTCTTAATGAAAGTGGAGTAAGAAAGTGTCATCCAGTTAGGATGACGTACCAGTGTTTGATTTCCAGAGAAATCCCAGATCAAACAGTTTAAACTTGATTTTTCACAAAACCTTGGGGAGAAATTATGACACATCTCTAAATAAAGTAAAATTTTCCAGTGCAGAGAGGAGACAAACCATAGAAGCACTGATTTGATCTCATTTCAGAGAAAAATAGAACAGGTTAGATGCACCTAATAAATAAAATTACTAACAAACTCAGGAATCTGTTTCTTTGCTTCATTGTTCTGGTTCTGAGAATATCACTCATGCGGATCGAAGTAGATACACAGATGAATGCACCTCTTATTTATTATTTGGAAACTACATTTACTGCAGCTGGCAGAGGCAGATATTTTTTCTATTGATACACGGAATTTACAGAATCATTTTAAATTTTAATAGGGGAAGACTGCAGGAGGAAGCGGTCAAATACAGGGGGTCCCCAGCAAAAACAAGAAACTTTACGAGTCTGATGAAACCCGCTGGTTTTCCATCAGGCAGTCACAGGGCAGCTCCAACGACCCAGTGGCTGTGCTGGGTCAATGTTATCGAGCTCAGTCCGGCTCGGCAGAGGGTGAATGAGCCGAGGCGACGTCGTGCTCTGCTTAAGAAGAGGTGTTATTTTCCCGCTTCAGAAGAAGCGTCCAACGTGTTTTTACGCTTTCTCCGAGACATGTCACGTCGCTAAATTGTTAGCGCCGTGTGCTAAAACGTCAATAGTGCAACGTAGCCTGCTGGAGGTTTTAAGGGTTCAGATGAAACACCCGACCTCTCACGCTGCTCACATATCGATCTTAAGTTGTCGCTGTTGCGCTCACGCCGTAATACAGTGTTAGATGTGGTTAAAGTCAGACATGAAAAAATAAATTTTACATGAATAAGTGATGCTTAGCCTGGTGGGGGGAGAAAAACCTGGCCTAGTAAGCACTGGAGGAAACCCTGTCAAGATCGTCAACACTCGTTTATCTTAATGCTATTGAAACATGTAAACCAAAAAGCATTATATCCACTGCTACCTTTCTAATTTTAAACTCAGTAACTTATGCTGTAACTTCACCTTGCCCTGCCTGCTCCTCCTTGCTGCCTGCCGGCTGTGATCACAAGCGACAACATCCCGCTGCTTCTTCGGGAAACAGCGCAAAAAAATATAAATGAAAAAAAAAATAAAACTTGGGATCTTGTAGGCGTGGCGGTGGGATTTCAGCCGTGGCGGCCCGCCACGGCTACGCCTATGTAAGGGAAACCCTGCAGTCCAGTTGTGTATTATTTTAGTTCCACTCACAAACAGCCACAGCTGGCAGCTTAACAATCCAGAGACAAATTCAAGGTCAAGCTCAGATCCTCCACCGGAGACCGGGGAACCTGGATTCTTTACTGGATCTTAGATGATCAGTATTGTTCTGGACCTCTGAGTTTGTCACTAGGACTTGTTGAAGCAACTCTCCCAAGTTGGTCCCAGTGCTCTGATGACCAGGCATTACAGAGTCCTTGACTTTGCACAACTTTCCTATTTTATTGTTTGGCCCTTTTTTATTTTTCTAGCTTCTCATGTTCCTTACTGGTGTCACTGTCACTTGGGATGCAACATCCATCACCACTGCCTTGTTCTGCAGTTTTTCAACCTCCATAGAGTCTAGCTGCTTAGCCATCACCTTTTTGTCACTCAGTATCTTAGCTTTTTCATTCTCCACCACTGATGATTGAGCCCCACAGGCACAGATGTTCCTGGACACTTCTGCATCTTTGCACTGTCAGCATCTTGGGTACTGTCTGGTCTGGTAGACCTCTGATGGCCTGTTATTGTGCTGCCATGATTAGTGCCTCTGTATTCCCCTTCAGTCCAGCGTTTTCTAGCCACTCTTATGGAAATCAGCCTCTTCATGGATCAGCCTGTGGTACTTGCCAAACAGGGCCTTATCCCACAATTATGGCTCCTCATGCTCCACCTCATCAAGGTTGGATTTCTGCTGTTGGAGAGCTTTAATTAGCAGTTAATCACTAATGTACTCCAGGATCTTAGCTGTGTCACCCTGTATAGTGGTTCAGAAACTCACCAGGCAGTGGCTACCTTCCCTCCCTCCTATACTGTTTCACAATGCTAGACTTGAGGCGAAAACCTCCGTGCACTGTGAGGAGCTTTCTTGTATTGACAGTGTCAGCCGCTTGCCGTGCTGACATTGACATCCTACTTCCTCTTTGGCCAGGCTATTATACTAGCAAGGTATCTGATGACTGGCAAGACAAACGTTTTCATGGCTCTGACTTTTTATTATACCATTCAAACGACTCTTTGGGGTCTGTCTTGCTCTTTGGAGGTACTTGGTTGTGGCTGACAGCTATTGTGATGGTACTTGTGCTGCTTGGATCATCTGCAGTGTTGCCTTTCAGTCATGATCAGTGGGCCTCTTATGTTTTTTTTTTTTTTTTTTTTTTTTTTTTTTTACCGTGTCCTGTCTGGCTGTGAAGCAAGCAGAATTGATGTCTGAATGCTGGTGACAAGCCTTACAGATTTATTCTCAGGTGGAGCATCAAAGCATTTGCTTTTAATGTCACGCCTGATAGTTAAAACTTTATTGTTATTGTTGTTGAATGCTTTGTAATTCCGACCAGACACGGAGACAGAGGTGAAAGAGAGAGGAAAAGAAAAGGTGGGGAGAGAGGGGGGGGGGGGGGGGGGGGGGGGGAGTTCCACAAAAACAAACAATAATGAACAAGAGTCTGCTTCCAGACCTGCAGAAAAAAGACAAAAAAAAAAACAAAACAAAGGGACACAAAAAAAATAAAATAAGTGGGCCTCTTATGGATATCAAATGGCATTCCAACATTTGGTGGGGGGTTATGTTGATTTCTCACTCATTCTTGACATAACACTTGATGTAATCCTTGTAAAAAAATGACTGTCATTCAACATTTGTCATACGATACACACGTTTTTGGATCCACTAAACATTTTTGTGAATTTGTTTTCTAAATTTTCATTCATCCATCATTTTCCCCTTTCAGGCCTGGTTTCCTGTTGTCAACAAGAGGCGGTTAAACCCTGGCAGGTTGCTATCCCAATGCAGGGCAAACACAGACACACTAAAAACACTCACGCCTATCAATACAGAGTAAAAGGTTAGACTAACAGCCATGTATGTTTTTGGATTACTGGAGAAAACTGGACGGCCCAGAGCATACCCTCTAAGGCATACAGACAACCACCACAACCCTGCATGTTATTTGACATCCTTGTGTATTTTTTCAATCTTTAAAAAACATAAATCTCTCTAAAGTTATGTACTTGGCCACATTCAAGCCAAGTTTCTTTTATATTATTATTTATGAAACCACTTGACACAAAAAGGCACTCCACTTGCTTATTTACCTTGCTTCTCTCTCTACAGACCTCACTGGAAGTTGATAGCTTTTTCTGTAAAACGTGTTGGAATTATCTTGGGGTGGAAAAGGAAGTTTTTACTTTTGTTTGGCATATTTTATAATAAAAACATGGATGCAAAATGTGTCTTAACCTGATATAAACTGGTAATGGAAAAAGGCCTTCACATTTGAATTAGGATGCGTTTTAATTGTTCATTATGGAGATATGCAAGTTATTTAGATTGTTATGCTTTTGTGAAATTGTACACTGAAAGAAAATATACACATATTTACGAAATAGTCATAAATTGAGGATTAGATGGAAAAGCATAACAAGAGCGAGCGCTTAAATACAATAAAAATAAAACGTGTCATCATCAGCAACAACAGCAATAATAATAATAATAAAGTTGAGCACTTTGATAACAAATATAGAATAGAAAACCCTTTTATTGTCCTTCAGTGGGGAAATGTTGGTGTCACAGGAGCAATTACAAGAGGAGCAAAGAAAAAATAAAAGGTACTTTGGACAAAAAAACATTAAAACAATTGTGCTGGTGGAGGTTCTCAGTCATTCAGGCCAGGGTTCAAAAGAAGGCAACTGAACTTTTTTGGGAACTTTTTTGGTTTCTTAAAGAAAGAAATCCAGTTCACTTCATTCGAACCCTTTTGGATAAAAAAAAGTATATGCCAGAAGTACTTAAAACATTCAATTGAATAACCACGTTTTTCAACTATAAAAATAAATAATATTTCTGAAGACAGTAGGCTAAGCAAAGAGTATTTAAATAAAATAGTCGTCACAACATTCTGGGATCATTTTTCTCTGCATTAAATTGTAAAAAGAGAAATTAAAATTGAAAAAACAATCAGAAGCAAGTGAGTACATTCTTATTTTAACGTATTTCCTAACACAACCATTGTTGATTCAAAACAATTCCGGGTCAATGTAGGAACTTACCTAAGCAGTAATACGTATATCTCTTCCATCCAGCCAGCCATTGTCTGAACCCGCCTGTCCACGTATAGGGTCGCGGAGGGGCTGGTGCCTATCTCCATCGGTACTTATATCTCTTTTAACCCTAATTCTCTTTTCTGATTATAAAAGCAGTTCTCAATCTACATTACACTGCCCCCCTCTAGTGTTCAAACAACAAAACAACCACTTTTTGTCCCATCTTTCTTTAGGGCAAAACTGTGTCCTACGTCATTACGTCTTACCTCTCTATTGGTTAATAGAGCCGTCCGTCAGAGGGGTTTCCGGAAGAATCACCCCCAACTAAGAAGATGGAGGACCGTAACTCAGATTTGAGCAGACCACAGATGTACTTGTTTGGTGAGCTTGTCTGTTTCAACAAAAATTAAGCAAAGAAGTCGCACAATCAGTTTTGGTACCATGTTGAATATATGACCTTTAGACATTTTAAAGCAGGTTAAGCTAGCTGCACAAATGACGGTTCTGTTCGCCTCCTCTCGCGCCAGTTCCGCTCTTTTGTTAGCTGGCCTCGTGAAACGTGTGGCTCCCACTGCCAGATGTGAAGCTGCAAGCTTCATTTGTGCATGTTTGATGAATGCAGGTGAAGCGTGGGGTTAAACTGCACGTATCGTCTCTCCTCAGGTTGTACACTGAAATCGGACAAACGGGAGTTCAAAGTTGACATAGATGACGACGATGCAGAACAGCAGCTGTCACTGAAAGCAGTAAGGAACTGTGTCTGCCGTTATTCAGCGAGTTTCTAATTGTTCGATCTAAACATTTGCACACCAGTGTTGTTGAGACCGAAACAATTTCCATACAGAGTGACTGAACTGAAGAGTCTGCAGATGAGCTATGTTTGCCATTTCTATTAAATGTAATTACTATAGGGCCACGAAACCTGCTAGAACCACACATTAATAACCAAAAAAAAAAAAAAGACTTTTTAATGAGGTGTTTTACCCATATACAGAAACATTATTTCTGTAAAAGAAGAGTTTAAACTTCACAGCGATTTCAGTTATTCCTTTATTAATATCCAGTTAAAGATGAAGCATTAAACAGCACCTCAGTGATTTATGTAAATGTTAATGTAATGAAAGAAATGCTATGGTGTCAGTCTTTCATAACGTTGAGACAAGAGCACTAACAAAGCGTTGATAAAAGTAACAGGCTTTTAACATTGACCTGATTTAGCGTTCATTCGGTTTGTTTTTAGTTACTGAGATGAAATAGGGCCATTCTGCTGTAGAATCTCCATCTATTACAACATTTGGAAAGTGATAAAAATTTATTTTAATATTGAATCTGATACTTCCTCAAGTTCCTGCCATTTCTGTTATAAGGAGACACCTCAGAACCTGCAGACTGCAGTGAATAAACAAACTGCTACAATTATCATAAAATGCTGCAGAAACAAAGATGGGACTCATTTGAAAACACAAAGTTGCAGAAAATGTGGTACATGAAAATTAAACAAATTCACCTCGAGTTAAAATGTTCCTAAGGTTTTTTGTTGATGTTTTCTGTTTTTTTTTTTTTTTTTGTGTCCTGTCTGGCTGTGAAGCAAACAGAATTGATGTCTGAATTCTGGGAACAAGCCTTACAGATTTACTCTCAGGTGGAGCATCAAAGCCTCTGCTTTAATGTCACGCCTGATACTTAAAACTTTGTCAGTGTTTTTTGAATGCTTCGTAATTCCGGCCAGACACGGAGACAGAGGTGAAAGAGAAAGGAAAAGACAAGGGGTTGGGGTTGGAGGGGGGCTTAAGACCTGTGTTGAACATGCCCAAGTCCATACTTATGAGAGCACCATGTGAGCACCTGTGTGTGTACACGCACTTGTTTATGTAAGGTTTCTCTATAGGAGCATCCAATAGAGAGTGTGAGGGGCCACAGATCTGCCCCCATAGATGTGTAGGAGATGGAGGGAGCTCCAAGTCTCAGAGATCCAGGAGCTGCCCCAGAGCACAGGGACCCCAGGGAGACTGCGACCAGAAAAGCCCCTGCCCCCCTCAAGAGGCGCAGAGGATTGCCCCGGGGGGTCATAACCAGCAGCCGGCAGAGTCCTGGGAGATATCAAGCCCACAAGCCACAGGCCCGCCCGCAGCCTCCCACCCCCTAGCCGGCCGAGCCCGGAACCCAGTGACCCGGGACCCAGGGGCGACCAGCCCCGTTGGGGACCCAGCAGAGTCCAGGGACCCATATCCCACCAGACAGCCACCGGGATTAATCAGGCAGACGCCAAAAATCTTAAACCCCCGACCCGTGAGCTGCGAACACTCAGGCAGACCAAGGCACCACACTCCACACCAAGTGTGGCAGAGGGAGGGGAGACGAAGATGTGTATCATCAAAAGAAGTCCCAGGAGAGGGGAGGAGTCAAAGGCCCCACCTGACATACAGTCATACACAAACACAGTCACACACTCCCTCCCTCACACATGCACATACAACCTAAGACTTGCTGATGTTTTCTGTTAATAAATGTGTTGATTACAGGTTGGGTCAAATATTCACAGCAGTGTAATTTCCTGTAAGGTTTTCATTCTAAGCTTGTGTGTTTAGAGACATATGCTTGGAGAAAGTTGTAAAGAAGTTGGGGCACAAATTCAGTTTTGCTTAATAATTTAACTCAATACATGAAGAAGGTGTAGAGTAAGATGCAATTTAGAGCACATTTTCATTAATATTTGTAATTTAACCAGAAGTGAAATCAAAGCTAATCTGTTCTTTTAAAGAGCCTCTTCTCAACACCTCCACCTCTCAGACACACCATCAGAGTCTGGTAAACATGATCTAGTTGTCCAAATACAGTCTCTAAGCAGAATTGTGTTATAAAGGCCCATTTAAAAGTTATAGACACCTTTGGTTTTGTCCCAGGTGTGTCTGGGAGCTGAAGCTGAGGACAAGTTCCACATGGTGGAAATCGAGGGGCTCACTTACAACGCAAAGACCTCCAAAGTGCCGCTTGCCGTGCTGAAACCATCTGTCCTGCCCTCCGTGAGTCAACACTAACATTTCTGTAAAGCTAAGGTCTGTGTTTCTGAGTGTCTTGATGACATCATCATCGTAATGTTTGTGTTATGTTGTCCAGTTGAATTTAGGTGGATTTGAGATCACACCTCCGGTTACCTTTCGTCTTGTGTCGGGTTCTGGTCCGGTCCACATTAGCGGGCAGCATTTTGTCAGTAAGTTGAAAAGATCTCTGGACAATTTCTCCTAAATAGACTATCAAATACCTCACTCATTACATTTCTGTTTTATAGGAATGTTTTAGTGAATCTCAGACTTCTACAGTAGTAGGAATTTACAAGCCCTGTAAAGCATGACGAGGGATTTCAGTTTTGCTAAAATCTTCTGTAAATTCTTTGTGGCCATCTTGATAAATCAGGTTAAGCCTTCATCGCAGTATGCTGCCCCTTTCTCCTGCCTCTGCTTATTTTATAGGTGTGAAGGAGTCTGACGATGAAGAGGAGGAAAACAACTCCTCTCCTGTGAAGCGGCCTGCGAGCCAGTCACTAGTGAAGAAGCCTCCTGCGGTGATCAACTTTCCTTTTTGCATCCTTTAGAGCCGGGGTCTCAAACCTTTTTTGACTCGTGAGCTACACAATAAAAGCACCAAAGACTTACCGCCATCCAATTTATTCACATGTGTACCTTCCATGTGTGAATATGCTTATGCTAAAAATATAGTAATACCGTAAATCCTCTAATACAGGCCCGGGCCTGTATTTGACTCAAGCTCATCAAGCTCCAGGCCTTTATTGGAAGGAGGGCCAGTATTAGAGGCAGGCATCTATTTCTATTTGAGCAAAATGAACTAATGGTTCGCTGGAGTTTTTGACAATTAAAATTGCGCCCACATTTTCAAAGTTAAACACATTTATTTTAACAACGGTAGTTCCTGCTTCAGCCCTCTCCCCCCTCCCCCTGCGCAGCAGCCCCAAACTCACTGATGCACCTGCAGCCTCTCGGAGTTCCTGCTGCTCTAAACATTAAAATAATTATTTCATTTTCTGTTCCTCACTTCTGATGACCTTCAATGTTGTCTGTTTGTTGCAACAGCAGGTACAAAAACTAACTTGTTTTTATTTGACTATTTTTCTGTCCTGTCTGTTTATTATCTTCCTGCATCTCCTCTCAATCCTAAAGAAAAACTGCTACCTGGGTTCATATATATTCACCTCATGAGTTACCTTTGAACTGCAGTTCTAAAAGATCTACCGACCGCAAAAACAGGGGAGCGCTTGCTGTTTGGCGGCCGTATCAGTGATCAGTGCGTCGGAGGACAAGGTGATGCCCGCAGCGCCCCGCTCCACAGCATGCAGTGAAACGCATCAGGCGCAAATAAAAGACAGAAAGCATTAAAGGAAATGAACGGACATGAACGATCGCGTGTTAAATTAGTTTTTGAGGTGGCGACACCTGATTGTTACTGTGGCCGTGCTCAGGAGGCAGATCTACCGACCGCGAAAACAGCTGAGCGCTCCCTGCTGTGATCTGTGCGTCGGAGGACAAGTTGATGCGCCCCGCTCCACAGCAGCGATACACATCAGGCGCAAATAAAAGACAGAAAACATTAAAGGAAATGAACCGACATGAACGATCGCGTGTCAGTACCTACGGTCTGGCACTTGAGTTTTACCCCCAAAAAGAGAATGTGATCATACGATAATTCAATAGGAAGCGTGGTTTCACAGACGCGGAAGTGATGGCGTCGGTGAAACGCCGGCTGCTCTAGGAAACCCCCGAGCGTTCGAGCGTCAACGAAGTGACACGGAAATGCCGGGCTTTCCAGAAGTAAGTAAGATAACTTACTATGAGCTGATAGTTCGTTGGATTGATCGGTAGGTTCGAAACTCTGATCGTGAATCTGAAGAAACGATGACTGAGTGGTGAGCTGGAAAGGCGACTTCCGTTTATAGCCACGGTTTGTGACGTAGGTGCGACGTGAAGGGAATCCCCGCGAGGGGCATGCTGGGAGTCCCTACTTCGCGGATTTTCACCTATCGCGGCCAGGTCTGGAACGCATCTACCGCGATAAACGAGGGATTGCTGTAGTTCATACACCCCCTACTGCTGCTCTCCAGAGTGTTCTGCAGCATAATCAGCACGTTCTCTTTGAACTTGATAGTGTAATGACCTGGCTGGGGTTGTAAGCCAGGTGCATTCTGGGTATTGTGTTATATGTGTTTCCTATCGTTCTGCTAGTTCCTATGTGCTGATTTGCGTGTTGTGTGAGTGTTATGTAAGCCACAGGGAAGGTGATGTGTGTTCTGTGGAGCGGGTTGAATTAGCATGGTTAACTGACACCGTGACTCTGTGTGGTAGGAGCATGATAGAGGATCGTGTCTGTAGCGTTACAAAGCCTTGAAGAAAAGGCCTAAAAAAAGGTCTGCGTGATCTATTACTGCCTCCTGCTGGTTGTTTTGGGGACTACAACCCTGCCGCTGGGACGCTCGTACTTGCTTGTTACCACATGCCATCCGGCCACAATAAGAGACCGGCCATTATTTACCTCCGCTGACTCAGACACCGGCCAGAATTGGAGACCCGGCCTTTAATTGAATGCCGGCCTGTAATAGAGGATTTACGGTATATTATTACTATATTACTATAGTAATAATATAGTTATTACTATATTAGCATGCATTGTATTCACAAGTAGATTTCTCTATTTCAATACATCAATATTCTTATGAAGTACAAGGAAAAAAGTGACATTCAGAAAATCTAAACAAAACATTTTGAATCAGATACTTTCAGATAATGAATAACAAATCAACTTTATGTAAATGATTTGGTGGTCTGTTTAGAATGGATCAGGAACAGCGAACCTGCTCCTGTTCAGGCCTTGACCCTGTGCCCTGCCCTAAGCAGCAATGTCGGTTTTTCATAGTGTTCAGCAGTTTTGTCATAAATGAACAAAAACTTCCCAAACTGACATGTAGAGAACGTTTAATGTAATGTACAAAACCTTGCGAGTAATTATATTTTCTAAACAATGCCACATAACAGTTATAAGATGAATAAAGCTGAAATTATTACGAATAAAAAACAAGCTAAATGTGAGGAAAACACAACATTCTTAATTGTTTCATCTAAAGTAAAAAAGGTTAAAATAAAAAAATTCCTGCTTTCCTGATTAATTTAACAATTTTTATGGTTTTTTTTTTTGCTCATGATAGTTAAATTTTACTTCAATAATTGTGAGTAACATGCTTTGCTGCGATTTTTTTTACAGTATTAAAATAATTTACCTTTTTCCCTGCCTCTGGGTCAGCCGATGTGTGGGTCTGACGGCTGTGTGCAGAACAGAGCAGAAAGGGAGACGGAGCTTTAAAAATCATGTTTTATTACTAAATGGGACGATCAGCTGAAACTGTTGAGGGAAATTCGTTGAAAGTAAATCTCAGGAGATGTTCAGAGATTGGAAGCGTGTGGTCATCATGTGTTCATAAACGAATAGCGTTTATTTTGCGTTAACGAGCTATTACTGCAGACAGGACTTTACTGTCAGCCAGATTTTACGGAGGATGTTTTTCTGAAACCAGGTCTGTATAACCCAACATCACCCCGTCTTCTTTAGAAGCATGTCCTCATCCACCTGCAGCTGCCGAGATCAGAAACGGGGATTCGAGCTGCAACCTGAGCAATGAATCCATTCCGTGTGTTTCCAGTAAAACATCCTTGCTGAAAAATTTGTGCAATAATCACATTTGCCATCAGATTTCAAAGCCGTCCCGTCGTTAATTACAAGTCAGGCAGGGCGGGTGTTTAAAAATCCTCTAAATCTGATTTAGAGTATTTTTAAAACCATATTTTTGCAGATGATCATTAGCTGAAAAATAATTCTTCTTCTCTTCAGAAAAAAGTAAAAACGGATTCAGATGAGGACGACGAAGAAGACAGCGAAGAGGACAATGACGAGTATGATTTTGGTCATTTTGAATTAAATGTTTTATGATTTATAAAGGAGGGTCTACCAGTGTTCAACTTATCCAGGTTCTGTTACCATCTTGTTGTAGTGATGACGAGAGTGATGAAGATGACGTGAAGCCTCAGAAAATTGTGGACAAAGTCAAAAAGGTAAGCATGGTCTGTTTTGTGTGGTGGCTCATTAGGGTCTTTCTTCAAGCAAAAATATTTTAAAAAATTACATTTTGTGAAAAATTTCTGAAATTTTAAGATTAATGTCACATATTTGCAGGAAAAAACTTTGTATGATTAAACTGTGAATTTGTGAGAATGAACACACACACACACACACACACACACACAAACACACACACTAAAACGTCAATAAAAAGTTTATTTTTTCCACTATAAACTTTCAGGTAGCTTCATACTAGAGTCATTACTCCTGACCAATCAAAACACAGACCCAGTAGCTTACTACTTAACATGTTAATGAAAGAATTTAATTCTACTGATCATCTGCGGATGTATTAAGATGTGTTATTTTGACCAGGATGAGTGATATTAATAAAAACCTAAAATGTTAATGAAATGTAAGTAAAATTTTGTTCCCAAAATATTTATTAACTAGAAATATCAGCTGGGAAAGAGGAACTAGACAACACCACTTTGTTATTGAGCCTAATATCATTTTTTCAGTTTTATTTTCATACCTTTAGCAGCAGACCAGTCTCTTTTCACTTGAAACATCGTCAAATAGAATATTCCATTAATCGACGGAGGATTCGATGCAATGTTCGAATACTAAAATATTCGATAGCTGCAACCCAAATAACGATCAATATGATTGATTTTATCGATAACTTTTTTCTACGTCGTCTAGCTATATTATATATATATATATATATATATATATATATATATATATATATATACACACACACACACACACACACAATTTGTTTTTCTATGCAATACCAAACTACAAAAAACTCCCACAAATGTGGGCCATTGATTGCAAACATGTTTTTCACACAAAAAAGTGATTTTCCTAACAAATCCATTTAAGCCCATGTTGCAAAAATGTGTACACCCTAATTATATTCTTAGGATAAAAGCCACACTTAAGAGGTGTCCAGTAGACAGGTGACAAAGGAAAGCCCTTCCCATTTTATGCTGTCCCTGCGGGGTGGGGGAATTGAATTGAACTGGAACCTGGGTCCGTAATGGCTCCACAAGGAAGAGAAATGTCACAAAATCTGAGATAGGAAATCATTTCTTTTCACAAAAAAGGTGAGGGCTTCAAGAAGATCAGCAAAGCTTTACATATCGGTGAAAATACGGTAGCAAAAGTGATCCAGAAATTTAAAGATATTGGCCAGAGGCAAAATTCCTTTGAACAGCATTTGTAAAGAAGTACTAAAACCTCAGATGAAAAGGATTTTTGGATTTTCACAGCTGGAATTTAAAGAAAATCTGAAGTTATTGACTGGTATGGTAAAAACAGAAACTAGCTTCCGGTCTAAGCCGTGGGCAGCTGGTGATGTTTCACAAGGAGATCTGCAGAAGCAGCTATAGAACACAACCCCCAACTCTGGTGTTTCTGTGTTGGCGTTATAGCAGAGAATAATGTGTCATCAGTCAGATGTAGCTTCTGAAGCCTCTGCTAGTCTGTTAGATTTTTTTTCCTGGGATACAGCAAAGAGAACGGATATCGGAGTACTTGAGTAGTTCAACCGAACTCCGACCCGCTAGCTCAAAGGTCCTCAAATGGCGGCCCGCGGGCCCTCTCTTTGTGGCCCCCAAACCCTGCGTGCACCCCTCACCCCCGACAGCCGACCGGGAGGTGTAGGATAGATAAAGCTGAGGAAAATATCAATCAATCAGATTTATTTATAAAGCGCTTTTCAAATACTCAAAGTCCTTTACAAAATGACCCCAGATTCCCATAACAGGTTAAAAACATTAACAGACATATGCAAGCACGCACACACACACACACACACACACACACACACACACACACACACACACACGTAAAAAATTATATATATATATTTAGCTGAGTCCAGATGAGCCAAGTAAGGTAAGGCAAGGAAACGCCATCAGAGTTGCCGTCTGCCCCGGCAGCATCAGGTCTTCCACACTAATGGGCCATTCCCATCTGTACCAGGTCGGCCCGGGCTGGGTAGCCCCAGTCGGCCCCAGCCTGGCCCGGTTGATTCCACACATCCTTGCCTTAAGCCCATGTGGGCTGATTCTACCCACCAATCAGAGGCTTGCTCTAATGGAAGGTGTGAATTTGCTGTCAGCAGTGGGTGTGTTGGCCCTGGTTGGCCTGAAGCAGACCCCCTCAAGAAAAGGGCTGAGAATGAGCCTTGGTTGGCCCGGAAAAATACCAGGCCACCCAGATATGTAAACAACCTACGCTACCCGGCCCGGGCCGACCCGGTACAGATGGGAATGGCCCAATAGACCCTTACCTCCACTTAAACACAACCTATAGAGCGCCCAGAAAGCTACAGTCGATCACCGCTCCCGGAGCAGAGGGCCCCTACAGAGGAAACACTGGATTAAAATGAGTAAAAATATAATAAAAGAGCTAATATAAATGACAACAGTTAGAAAATAATAAATAAAATCATATAGACAGTAAAATAATAATATTAAATAATAAAAAATGCTAAAATATAATTGTATAAAACATGCAAAGCATGCAATAAAATATAATTATGTAAAACGAGAAATAAAACTGTAGTAAATATTTAGGTAAAAGCTGACCTAAAAAGATGGGTCTTGAGCCTGGACTTAAAAACATGAACGTTCTCTGCGGCCCTGAGGTCCTCTGGCAGCTTGTTCCAGAGGCGAGGGCCATAACACTGGAAGGACGCCTTGCCATGAGTGTGTGTCCTGACTTTAGGGATGACCAGGAGACGCCTGCCAGAGAAGCGCAGAGGCCGTGAGGGTTCATATGGTAAAAACAGTTCTGAGAGATAAGAAGGCCCAAGACCGTTAAGACACTTAAAAACTGTTAGAAGAACCTTAAAAATGATCCTGAAACATACGGGGAGCCAATGCAATGATTCTAAAACTGGTGTAATGTGCTCCCGCCTCCTGGTCTTCATCAGGACATGTGCTGCCGAATTTTGTAGAAGTTGTAAGCCTGAGATGCTCTTTGGGAAGACCCGAAAGCAGGGCATTGCAGTAGTCTATTCTACTGGTGATAAAAGCATGCATCAGCATCTCCGTATTGGCCCGAGAGAGAATGGGGCGGACTCTGGCGATGTTCTTTAGATGATGAAAACCTATTTTTGTGATATTTTTAATGTGTGGGAGAAAAGTCAGCTCAGAGTCAAAAATCACACCCAGGTTCTTCACTTGTTCAGATGGATTAAAAGACAGAGATTGTAATTCCGGTAAAAGCTTCTCGCTATGGGCCTCAGGACCAATGACTAAAACTTCAGTTTTGTCCTGGTTGAGCTGGAGAAAGTTCTCTGCCATCCAGGATTTGATGTCTAAAATACAGTTAAAGTGCATCCATTGGCCGAGAGTCATCAGGAGACATGGAGATGTACAACTGTGTATCATCAGCATAACTGTGAAAGTTAACCCCGTGTCTCCTGATGACACCGCCAAGAGGAAGCATATAAAGATTAAAAAGCACTGGGCCTAAAATTGAACCCTGGGGCACACCACATGTAATCCCATGGACCCTAGAGGAACAGGTATCCAAACTCACCATGAAAGTCCTGTCTGTGAGGTAGGATGTGAACCATCTATGCACAGCACCAGAGAGGCCGATCTGTTTTAAACGAGTTAAAATAATAGTGTGGTCTACTGTATCGAAGGCAGAACTTAGATCCAGTAGGACCAACACTGTCAACTTCCGTTTGTCATAATTTACTCAAATCATTTAAAATCTTCAGAAGGGCCGTCTCGGTGCTGTGGTTCACCCTAAAACCAGACTAAAATGTCTCTAAGACATTATGAGTGTTTAAAAATCATTTAGTTGATTTAAAACCAACTTTTCTAAAATGTTGCTTAAAAATGGCAAGTTAGATATCGGCCGATAATCGTTTAATTCATTAATATCTAAATTGCTCTTCTTCAACAGGGGCCTCACCACCGCCCTTTTAAAGGCAGCAGGAAAGACCCCTGTCTGAAGGGAGCAGTTCATCAGGGTTAAAATCTCATCACTTAAACATCCATAACATTGTTTAAAAAGCGAAGTTGGAATTGGGTCCAGAACACGTGGTGGGTCTCTCTGAGGAGAAAACTTTATCAAGAGTCTCAGCTTCTACCAGGACAAAGCTGTCCAGTGTTTCCTCTGGTATAGACACACATCCAGATTTATTTAAGACCTTATTACTCATGGAGGATAAAATATTCCGTCTGATGGTGTCTACCTTCCCTCTGAAGTGGGCTGCAAACTCCTCACAGAGTGCATTTGAGGGTGTTTTCTGAAGTGAATTGGATGTACGGTTTAAAATGTTTATGGTGGAAAAAAGGCATTCTGGGATTGTGTTTATTGTCTAGAATGAGTTTAGAAAGGTATGCATTTCTTGAATTTCTCACTGCACTATTATATGATTTAAGTAGCTCTGTATATATTTGATGATTTATGGTTGTTTTGTTCTTTCTCCATCTCCGCTCTGCAACCCTGCAATTTCTCTTTAGTTTCTTTAGATTTTAATTTCTCCACGGAGAAGCACGTTTTGAATATAGACTTTTGATTTTAAGTGGAGCGAGCAGGTCGAGAGCGGATTTCAGTCTACTGTTAAAATCATTGACAGCAAAATCACAAGAGGCAGTTACCGGAGTGGGAGGGATCTTTCTAAAAACTTCAAGAAACCTGCAGCCACTTCAGGACGCTTCCTTACAGTTCTCACAGACGGTTCCAGCTGGATAAAACTGGTTATGCTAAAAAATACACAGTAGTGATCAGAGATAGCCATATCAATAACAGAGGACACACTGGTGGACAGGCCATACGTGATGACCAAGTCCAGGGTGTGTCCTCTGTTGTGAGTTGGCTGTGGGACATGCTGACTAAAATCCATATAACTCAGAATATTTAAAAACTCCTTTGAAAAAGCATCAGAAGGATTATCTATATGTAGATTAAAATCACTGGCTAAAATGATCCTTTCAAAGCAGTTGTGCAGGATTGA